AAATTACTCTTCCCAATTAAATCCATTTTAATAAAAATATTCCCTACGAAATACTAATCAACAATTTACTGGATTAAAAATATTATTCATGAATTTCTGAAGAACCTAAACACCGAATCCAAGAAAAAATTACTCTTTCCAATTAAATCCATTTTAATAAAAATATTCCCTACGAAATACTAATCAACAATTTAGTGGATTAAAAATATTATTCATGAATTGCTGAAGAACCTAAACACCGAATCCGAGAAAAAATTACTCTTCCCAATTAAATCAATTTAATGCACACATAAATTCAAAACGGAATTGAGGATTTCATTAATTATTCCTCAGCAGGAATAATATTTCTTTTAATTAAAATGTTTTTCTCAATAATCCGTCATTTGTGTGAATTAATTAAAATCATGGAACTGAATTTTTTATATAATTTTTTATAAATATGAAAGTTGAATTTTCATTGAATTTGTACGTGCTCATTATCTAAATCCATTGATATATATTTATATTTACAAGAATATACGTATCCTCCATTAATGTAACTGCCCCGGGGCATTTGAATTATGGGTTTGTTTGCGGCCACACGTATTTGGATATTTCTCGGATATAAGCGTTTCACTTACTGTTTATCTGGTAAATTATCGAGATAGGGAATTTGTATACGATACTGGAGAGCACTTTCATAAACTGTATGGGTATGAAAAGCTTCCGAATGATAATCAAATGATGAAATTGCATGTTTCGTTATTATATTCAGATTGCTCAGCAGGAAGTGCCTAGGGTGTGCCCATTGTTCTTGGGTCAATGGCTTCGGTTGTCATATTTATTAATATCCGGGGAAAATATTTGGATTGCCTTTTGCTATTAGACGATTTCTATGGCGGGAGAATTAATTTATTTGGGAGATAATCCGGGAGACTGATTAAAAAATTCAGTCACAAGGTCATCTGAATTTTTTACTAAACGAGTTTTAATTGAATTTCAATTAAAAATGAATTATTTATTTTTTATTTATCGCGAAAATTTGTTTTTATTCGATTTTTCATGTTATTCCAAATATAAATAAAATTTTTAAACAACAATTGAATTGTCAGAAAATTGGCGATCTGAAGAGATTATTAAAAATCATAATTATTGATTAAAATAATTAATGCATCACTAATTAATGATCCAAGTTTTTCAAATTTCCAAAAAACCAAGAAATGATTCAATTTCGAATGTTATAAAAAATTACTCAATTAATAATTAATTAATGATTCAAATGTTTCAAATTTTCAAAAATCCCTAATCAATCAATAAATTATAAAAAACGCTGATAACATAAAAAAAATTCAAATAATTCAATTTTTTCGCGGTGAAATTTCCAGTGTAATTTTCCAACGTTTAAAAAAGCAGTCAATTAATTCAAATCGGCAATATTGACTCGACCGAAGAGAAATGAACATGTTAATGAGAAACAAGATAAGCCTCAATGAACTAATGATGAATGGTGGAGGGGCAGGATAAAAGGCTCCAAGTGAAAAGATAGGGGAATAAAAGGAGAATGATCGATGGAGATCGTAGCAGCCTGACCATATAGAGGAGCCAGTGGAGGCGCCAGGGTACGTTACGTGGCGCCTTAGCCTCATACCAAGTGCCCATTACATTATCCTGACATGTTACCTCCTGGAGCCAGTGAAAGTGCCTATCGATGCAGGTGGAGGTTACTCTGGATTATCAAATAAAAAGAACACAGCGACGAATAAAAATAAATAAATAACTATCATCGATATTTGGAGAGACCCTCCACACCCTCCACACCCTCTACACCCTCCACACCCTCTTATGGCTGATAAAACAAATTGATTTCAGGGTGTGAACACGCTGGGGTGCAACGCCCTATCGATCTTCCGCCATTCTCTGCCTCCGATTTTCCTCAACATCATATTTCAATTTTTCAAATTTGAATTACAAATTTTTTTGGGGAAAATCGAGAGTTTAAGTGCATTTGTTTAATTATTATGGAGACGGGGGAATCGGTAAATCAGTGGAGCGTTTCACTTGGGGGAGGGGAGCATTAAAAACCGGAGAATTTCTTCAAGTTGAGATAAAATCGGGTGAGAGTCTGCGATTTGGGAGCGACGAGGTGTGGCCTGTCGATATTTTCCCGGATAAATCTAGAGACTGGGAAAATTAATTTCTATTTCACATCGAGAGGATTTAAAATAAAAATCAATAAAAATCCATTCGACAATAATCCACAGACGACAAGAGTCGCTCACAAAAATTGATGACTAATAAATCGAAGTACCGATAACTTGATTGCTGCTGGTCTTTGATACGATTGTTGAAGAATTAATCCGTATGAAAAAGCGCAATATTGTTTTCCGCTGGGTTTATTATAAAAGCAGCTGTCGGTGGTATAAACCTGCAGTGGAAATCCGTGACAGCCAATGGAGCGAAATAACCGATTTACCCTTCATATTGCGATTTTGTCTCTTGCGCTCATCCTCGTCGATTTATCGACAACGGTTGAGTGCTTGAAGAAGTCCTCACGGAAGAGAAATCCGGATGAACCCGGGGATTTCCATCTTGCTGGAGGTCAAGCGAGAAGGTACATAAATTGGTTGAAGAAATTGATTGCTGGTATGGAAAAGATTTTTGATATTGCAAATAAAATTTCCAGGGAGCTAGATGCAGTTAACAGTACAATGGCATGTGCCTTGTCCTTGGCAGGAAGACGTCTCGAGGTTTGCGAATTGGCCTGGAAGATCAATCAGCTCCAGGACATGCTGCCCCACCTCCAGAGTCTCATCGCCAACAGATTGGGCAGAAGAAATTTCAGTTTCACGATTTACATCAACAGACCATCATCAACGATTCAGCTGTTGGACGAGGTGGGTCGTGCTCTTCTGAAATCCATCGGCAGATTCATTCAGTTCTTGGGTTACGTGGAGAAATTATTCGAAGCGACTGTTGGGGGGAGTCAAGTTCTCCAGGAGCCAGGATCACGAAGAGGTCTGTACAGAAGTGCAATGGAAGCTGCTGGTTTCTCCAAAGAGATCGCAGACATCGACGCTGTCAACGAGGACGAAGTGCAACGTCTGATTCAGAGGGCTTGGTCTAGAAAGTGCATCCTGGAGCTGCTGAAGTCTGATAAGAATCTTTGTGATGTAATCAACAGAATCACCGCTCTGGATGGTCTTCTTCAGGGTCAGTCTGTGAATGTTAACAGCAAAGAGTTACAGCTGGTGCCTATCAAGCTCTATTCCGAGAGCTTGAATTTGATAGACTTCCTTGACGCCATCCACAGCGGTCTCGTCCTGGCGATGACTAATGTCCACACTAAAGCACCTGGAGTTCTCCAAAAATCCGGCAGTTCTGATTCAATCCCGAAGGAATGGAAGTCACTCAACGCGCAGGATCATGAGGTCAAAGAAGTCTTTCAGACTCCGGAGTTCAAAGTCGAGCTTATCCAACCGCAATCGAAGAACAATCATGATAAAAAGGAGGAAATTGCTAATTCAAGACGACAGATGCAGCCGAAAATGCTCAAAGATGAAGAAGGTAGGACAAAGAATAGCCTTAGCCTCAGAGAAATCTAGTACTCATTATAATTTCTTCTAGAATCCACTGAAGAGAGAAAAGACCAGTCCGTTTCATCATCTGAAGATGACTCTTACGAAGAGGAAGACACCGATGAAGAATCAACGAATGACGAAGAATATGAATATATTTGGAATAATTTCCGAACCTCCGAAGAAGTCAAGACATCGGCCTCTACCCAGACGAAGGGCCACGCGAATCCGAAAAAATCCAACAAGTATTCCGTTCCTCGACATTAATAAAAACATCGAGCGATCGATAAACCTGTGAATTTATTACCGGCACACCTCTGCAATGGCCTATTAAAAAGTTTTTAATTGGAGTGCGGGGGAGATTGAAAAAATATCGTAAAAGGCGAGTTGGTATTGAACCGATAGCAATAAACCTCCGACCGTTGGATTTTAGCTTGAGTCAATAGCTCGGTGCAAATGCGGAACTCATCCATTCGATTTTCTGGCCTCCTGTGTGGCCTCTGAATAGCTGAATTGTCAGTTTCCTTTCAAGAGTATGATGGAATTTAAAATAACTTCGATCGAACAGTCCATGGGCCCGAGATAGCGATAATATTATCTATCAAAATATAATCACAAAATGACGAATTCATTTACATCATAATATTTTGACTTGTAATATTTTTTTTTGAATATTTTTGGGGGTGATATTATTGAATAAAATTTCGAGCGATCGAGGATGGAGTGACTACTGCTAAAAATATCACATCCAATCAAAATAAAATACATTTTGAGATCTACTATTGGAAAAAGTGAATACGAAAAACGTGACTTGAGAGAATGTCCCATTGAATTGAGATGCCTCGAGGCGTAAGACACGTGGCAAAGGCAGTCGTCACGACAGAATCACACGGAATTTTCCGCGAAATAGCCCAAGGTGGTAAGAATTCCAGACAAAAAATGTAAAAGAATGGATAGACTGTGTAGAGAAATTGAGACTCCCACGATACAGCTGTAAATTTAATTACTCTCGAATCCCTTTCATCTCGACTGAATGAAGCTTTTAAAAATAGCTTTCTGAATACCACCGAGGTATTTAATGAGAATGTACGAATTTATCTACACCTGCACCTGGTGAATCGTCCACTGGAAGCACGAAAGGTAAAAAAAAATATAAAGCTGTTTCGTCAGGCCATTATTTCACAACGAAATTGTACCAAACGAGTTAATGAACAGTTTCCTAACGATCTTAATGACCAGTCGTGGATTGAAAACGGAGGTGTGCTCATTCGCTGATATATGTATAGACAAAGTTGTATAGAGGAGCCAGAGGATTGCGTAAAGAGAGAACTCTGAAAGCTTTGTGTAGGGATTATCCCGAGGAATTTGGGATCCCACTTAATCCCATTTTCAGGGGCTGCAGTTAACTCCTACCATTTACGCAATAAAATGTTTATCACTGTATTTCGTTGGTATTCTTACGTATTCTCTCGAGAAACGCGGTTTAATCTTGTCCCATAAAACGTGAAAAAAGTTGCTCTGGCAAATTAACGAAGTTACGTCCAACTTCCATATTTGTTTCGAAGCGAACAATCTCACATTGTCATTCCCATCTTCTCTCATCATCTTAATCTTCACGATAAATTTATGATTTGGTCTACAGGATGTGGAAACAAGCTCAAGATGTTTACGATAATCTGCGTATCATCGAGTGCGATGTAAACTTGTAATATATGTCGGAAATTCTAGTAGACAAGCAACTTTCACTGTTGGTTAAATCCTCAGGACAAATAGTTGGACCGTCAAGTCCATTCCAATCAGTCTGACAACAATATGACATCAACTCGTTGCTTTCAGGATGTTATTCCAAAATGTATACATTATTCATAATTCAAAACCTCTAGGGGCACTTTCCCGTGCGGTGAAAAGGGTTCTAAGTGCAAATGTGATTGAGAATTTCATAGTGCGGTTAACGAATCCTGTTCTCGTATTTTGTGAAACAATGGAAAATACATATGTGAAGAGTATTGGATCGTAAATAACCGCATTGCTCGAGAGCTGGTAATATACACCGAGACAGAAACGTTAAATATTAACACATGTTATTTCTCAGCGTTCAATACTGCTGAGGCATTCGCCTACTCTGTGCGACTAGTTCCCCAGCAAATTCCAACTTTTGCAATAAAAGTTTCTGCATAATTCTCAGGTTCAAGCATCGGCTTTAATCTGATTCGTGATGAGATGTGGCTTCATTATTTCTGGTTGTCCTCACATTATTGGAGTGGGTGTTGGAAAAGTTTGGGTATCAATCTTTCCAGTTTGCAGGTGCTGGTGCAGCAGGATTGATTGATTTTGGAAGGATATTCCGGAAAGGAAGGCCCGGCACCTTTTCAAGGCAACGTTCGACGAAATTTCGACATTCAGACGAGGTGGCCGAGTGGTTAAGGCGTTGGACTGCTAATCCAATGTGCTCTGCACGCGTGGGTTCGAATCCCATCCTCGTCGAATTGTTTTTGAATTTTATTGAAGCTGTCATTTTTTGTCTCCTCCTTTGCAAGATTTCACACCGAATGGGTTTCTAAGCCATTCTTTCAGATTAACGTAAATCTTGGTTGGAGATGACCTGGTCACCCGCGACCCCTTATTTTCGATGGGTCTTTATCTCTTTTTGATGATAAGAGCTTGTGCAGAAAAATCTATAATGAGGGAAGCGTGGTTTTCTATTTTGATCAAGTCGCTGATAAACGGCCAATCTCTGATAACGGAAGGATTACCACAGCTGGTCAAATCGTGACGTTTTTTTTTTGGTGGGGGTTCATACCTAGTCTCGGAAAGGTTTTTGCTCAGGTAGCTACGAGCGTTTGTATATAAGGGGGCATGTTCAGTTGGAAATCGCGCAACGCGCCATTGCCTGGCTAGCTCAGTCGGTAGAGCATGAGACTCTTAATCTCAGGGTCGTGGGTTCGAGCCCCACGTCGGGCGAAAATCTTTTGCATTTGTCACTCTAAATCGCTAAAAAAGCCAAAGAAGGCTCGCCTCCTCCTTTTTTCATTCCTTTTACTCTTCGCTACTCTTCCTCCCTTAATGAACTATTTATTCTAATCTACGCGTCTTTAAATATTCAAATTCATATCCTATAATCTGTTAGAGTGTCATTGACTCACCAACTGCAGACGACATTGATAACTCGGTGCGGGAGTCAGGGTCGACAATCGAATATCGATGTAAATAGTTGGGGATTCCATCTTCAGCCTCTGCATTTCCACTCAACAAAAGCCTGAAAAAAAAAACAACATGAAAAATGAGAATCGACAAAGAGTCGTCACTTGCTTTCCTTTCAATAACCCACCCACAATGCAGGGGATATATATATTTTTCTTCTTTACCCCATTATTTTCCTTTCTCGATGGAATCGTGATGCGATTGTAGGCGAAATTGAGTTCACCAGTTTGAATCGCAGCCGTCTGGAAGAGACGTGGAAGGGCTTTGGACGAACGCCCAAAGAATCACAGTACTCTATTTTCTTTTGTCAGCCATGCGTGCGGTTTAGCTCGCATCAGCTGGACAATAGTACCCAGTAATGAACAATAGTAATCCACAGTAGCATCGAGAGTTGCCTCCTTGAGGCCATCCTGAATCGATAGGATGCACAATATATTTTAAATCAATGGCAATCGCCACCTTTCATAAAACAACTTTCTTTTTCCTTTCGCTATCCACAATTTCTCTATTTATATATCTTCATATATCACTAAAGCATTAAAACATCTACAGCAAATGGAAATCCATAATCCACAATAGTAAGCCACAATCAGAGAGCAACGAAGTGCAATTTAATATCAATGGATTAACGACGAACATTAAAAGATAAATGACCATACGAGTACACCATCTGTAGTTTTAATGATTCATAAAATTTGTAACAGAAATATTGCATTGCCCATCACTCGAGTTCACTTTTCAAACAGTAAATCAAACTCGGATTATTTTTTTATTACAACGCGAAGATGATTTCTTTACGATCCCGCAGACACAATAAATCTCACTGGGAAGAGTATTTTCATGGATATTACAAGGGGAGTCACCGTTGTGCGGGGATTTAAGCTTCAGATTTTGCGGGTGCCAGGTTGACCTCCTGGGGGGGTCACAAATAAATACTGAAACACCTGTGTCTACGTTGGTTACAGTGGACCATAGATGAGAGGAGTCGAGCAACCGCAGGACTATAAAAACGTACATTTGAGAAGTAGTTTATCCAACGTTTTACACCCTGTCCCCCACCCCCTTTTCCACCCGACGTTATTTTGCCCCGAGTGAGTGATAAAGGAGACCAGAGAGGCCACATCCAAGTTAGCTTCCTCGAGTTCCTGCATTTTTACCTCTAAATGATGAAAAATATGATAAAAAATGCCATCTCCACCGACCAACCGCTCTTCAATGGAGAAAATAAATTTCAAGTTGAGAACAAAGTAAATGATGGGTTTACTTATTGTCTTCCCGAATTTTTTAAGCGAGAGAAAGTTTATGCATGAATTACAAAGTTGAAATTTTTTTTTTTCCCTGGTTTTTGTAATGTTTGGGGTGGAAAGCAACGTGGGGTGAAGTTATTCAACGAGCCGTGAAACAAGTGCGTTCTGGCCTGTGCCAGAGGGGTAGAGAGATTGTAAACGCATTTGTTGGTCAGCTCAATAAGAGGAAAAAAATTGCGTGTGCATCAGAAAATTACAGTGGGCTAACGCATCATCATGTGCATATTAAAGTGTACATTTCACGTTCAATTGAGTGGCAAATCCAGTGGATTCGATGGCTCTCGGATACTTTAGTGAGGAAACTTCAAACATTCTGAACTTTCTCTGGTAATAAAGGAGAAATTAGTTGAGGAAATGGAGAGAATAATTGTATTTTCCCCTCTTTGCGTCCTTGGGCGTTTTTTTTCTTTAAACAAATTGTAGATTTTCCTGAGGAATTTTTGTCTAGTGGCTATTCTGCATCGATTGATCGAAGCTTGTCAATGAATGGAATAATCCACGGATTATAAAATTGGACGTAAAAGTCACGCCGAAAGTGATAGACCGACAGTATGAATATGAGAGGTGTATGGGAGTGTGAAAAGTGGGCGAGAAAAGTTAGATTCCAGGATGGCGATAGAGGCCCGGGGGTTTACGCCATCGTTTGAATTACGACGCCGTTAAAATGACGGCAACGACACTTGCTGAAAACAATGACGATTTTTAATTTTCCTCCAGTTTTCCTCACAAAGTCAGAGAACAAAGTGAATCCCTTCATTAATCTACTATTTCATGATTTCCAGGATGAATAAAATCATTTGAAATAACAATGCAGCGACAACACATCAATTAGCAATTTAAATAGCACCCTAGGTACCGAATGCTCAACGATTGTGAATAGAAATTGTCGTATCAGGAATAGGTACGTGATATTGAATACTTCAGGAATAAATGGAGCATCGAAACATGAAACATGAAACATGAAAATTGGAAAATACGTGGACTACTGATAAGAATTTCCATTTGATCGTTTGAATATCGATAAGACGGATAAGACGTTTAATTTGGGAGAGGTGGAGTTGTCGGGCAAGTCGAAACGAGAGGGAATAATTCCTGGGATGTCGTAAAATTGATATTTGTGTTGGCGTTGCTCCAGCATTGCCAGTAGCTGGGAAATACTTGGCCATGGGGTAGAGGGATAAAACCCAGGCATTTGCCGTACCTGCAATTATCGTTTCTCCAAGATATTCCCTCTAACCCCTGATTTATGAATTCTCTCAACTCGTAAATCGATGAAATTACCGAGTACACGATTTATTCGAGTGTGCAGATATGAAGATCTGTATTTATCTGGGAATATTAAATGTCGGATCGATAAGCAAGAGGATATGAATTTTATTCAAGTGTTGGTGCGTTGGATTTTTTTAATTCGTTGAGGATTCGTTGAACTGTTATTTTGTCAATTGTTTGGTGGACTATGAAAAATTATAATCTAGACTAGAATGTTGACTTTGGATTTCTCATCTGATCTATAACTTGAACCTGTGTTTACAATCACTTTTGTTCAAGAAGCCACTGGGAGGGGTTCAGGATAATCGAAGGGGACTGACCCTCGAAAACGCCATAAAATCACTGGATATATCTGATCGGACAGGCCTATCCCCCTTTGTTTTCCAGGGACCAAATTCCGAGGGCTGGACAGTCCCTCCAAAAATGGCGAAACACCGGGATAAACCTTACCAGATGCATAAATAATCCACTAAAGTTATTTATACGAACTGGATGTAAATTCAATGCCTCAAAACCCCAGGTTTTATCCATAAAATGCTAAATTCCGTATTGTATCATTTGAAATTGAAATAATTTAAATTCAGTTCGAGAGGAAAATAGACATCCCATCAGAGATCCGAATATCAATTCAATTTTTTTCTACATTCTGAACAATATCATCTCTTATCTCTATAATTAATGATTAGAGAAAGAAAAAACAAATGGCGCACGGATATTTTTGTCGAGAATCGATTGACAAAAAATCCATCACCCTTTGTCCTTGAGATGAATCAATCACAAAAAAATGGAATCATCTCGAAAATCGAAATATCTCAAGACAATAAAATTAGTGAGAACTTCTCTCGATCCATTTCGAATTCTCATCCCACAAAATGCGTTGGAAAATCCCGAGAGCCATAAAAATATTATAAATAACGCAAGATAAATAAAAAGAAATACTTACAACAACATTGGCACGTTGGAACAACAAAGGGCGCCAACGACGACTAAAAACCCCGCCAATTCCTCGAAGATAATGTTCGGAAGACGCCATGACTTCCATCCCCTCATCCACCCCATCGTCATCGTGGAATCATCCCCACAGGGTTGCTTCAAGGGATCAGGTATTTTCACTTGAATTTGATGTGCCGATTGTAAAAAAATATCACGAACAAAAAATAAACGCGGGATTTCGTGTGCAGCAGCAGCGCCACCCTCTCCCCGTGCTGCAGCAGCACGAACTAGATGACGTGAAAATCGGGGGCTCGAGCGTGTGCTGCCGCCGTCAGCATCATACCCTGAAACTCAGTCCTGACTCCTCAGTATCACATCAGACATCAACCCGCGAGTACCTCCATGCCATCCCCATCGTGTATCACCCAGAAACCGATTCATAAACACTCGATAAACTCTTGGTTTTGTTTTTGTGCTGAGGGAAGTATTCACCAGTGAAGTGCACTGCAGATTAATTAAATGGAGAATGACGTTCGGTGGAGGAGAAGGTAAATTTATTTCATTTTTTTTACTGCAGTTCAATGAGAGGAAGTCTCAATGAAGGCTTTCAGCTTTGAGGGTTGAAGGGTTTTTTTCACTTTCTTTGATTTTCCCTTTTTTTTTTGGGTCGTGGAGTCTAGGGGCTGTCTACGTTTTATCGATATTCTCGACACGAAATTTAGAGGATCGATTCGCATGTGGGACGTGTCTATTTCGATTTTTTAACTCAATCGAATGTCGAGGATTTTTCAGTTAGGGAATGGGGTATTCAATTTTTTTTTATTGACTGCGTGATCGTTTTGTTGGATGATTTCTTATTGTTTAATTGAGACAAATGCGAATTTCCTCCGTTGATGTTTAGATGAGGCACTAAATTGCTTCGGGACGGATGGATAAAGTACTACAAAGTAGTCCAATTCAAGTAGTCTAAGGAGATTGAGGAGAATAAAAAATAGTTCACTTGGTACAACCTAGATTCAATTCATGAGCTCACATGGAAAATTCATGAGTAAGAAATAAACCGAAAACACTGCCGCGTGTGGATTTATCCATGACTGCATTTTTTTTTTATTCAAGTCATACGTTATGTATCTGTTTACCGATAAAATTGGAAATTTCAGTCCTCCGGGTGCATCCACTCGGTGAATGAATTTTTTAATATCAGAGTTGAAATAACTCCGATATTTTCTATCCGCGCCTCAAAGGGTGAATTAAAAAAAAACATTCGATTCATCAGAGTTAAAATATGAGAAAATATCTTGAATTTTCAGTTATTAAACCAAAGCCGAATGAAAAAAGTGATAATATGAAATCATAATTATAATCTATAATTATAAAATGACTTTTAAAAAGGGATTATAAAATATTCCATTAATAATGTCTCAATGCCATCAATTATGATGCACCACGAATTAATTATTAATAATTAATCCTTGGTAAACCCCTAATCTTTTTTTAAAGCCTTAAATGAAGAGAAAACTCTGAAAAATTCTAGAAACCCAAAAACTTTATCAAAAAGTTAGGACATTAGAATAATTAATAATTATTGAGGATCTCTGGAGAGATGACACCATCAAAACTAGTTTCTTTTCACAAGATCTCGAGTTACTGCGAAAGTCACGCTCTAAATCCGTCAAACGGACCTTAAGAAAATCAAAAAGTCGACTGACTTGTGCCTCTTTGAAGATGCGATCACGATATTTTAGAGGAATAGCGAAAAAATAGTCTGAAATAGCAAGTAGAATTTTAATATCCACCGGTCGTGCCCAACCCCTGACTCTCCACCAAAAGTAATGATCCAGATTAACGATGTCATTTCGCACTGTCAGCCAGTGCTACCCACCAGAGTTTTCCCCAGGGGTAGACAGAACAGAAAGAGAGAATTGCCACTTCTGGGCGCTGGCATACACATAAAGATGGGGTGAATGCTTCCAAAACGAAATGCCCAAGGTTTTATCGCTACATGCTTGTACAGAATAGCTGACTGAGTCACCCAGGGACTAGTGGGAATTTGACTAATTAAAATTTTTGAAATATTTCATTTTCCGCCGCGTCATTTTTACCATTACACTATCTCTCAAACACTCGAATCAAAATTACCTGACTGATTTAATCTGTGATTTTCTATCTGCAATTTTGATTTTAAAAATATCTAGTTTTATTTATTTATTCTGGTCCATGAATATTTAGCGATTCTCTATTCTGTTCGGATGACGATCCCCTGGAGGGCATAACCGAGGTGATGAAGGATAGATGAAAAAGAAATGATTGATGAGGCGACACTTGCTCCAAGGAATTAGAAACAACTTTCTGAATTCTTCGATTAATCGTTATCGATCAGATAATGACCGAAAGTTTGTTGACACATGTGTCTCGGTGACATTTCCAGGGAATTCCCTCAACCAGATATTATCGTTCATCTCTGCTTTCCCGGGTGTAGGGAAGAGCATAAAATCGAATCTCTCAGGATATCATCCCCTTTGGTAGATTCATGCCCCAGTGATGGGGATCTCACCGATGTGTTCAGTCAACGGTGGCGAGGGTCGAGTGATCATTGACTTCTATTCATTTATCCCCCGATAAAAATTAAAAGCCCCTCTAAACCCAAACTAAAACTTCAAAATCTGAATTAAAAAACAAACAAATTCCACCCCCACACCAGAACAAATAACAAAATCTAACTATCAATTCCATTCTGTGAAAATCCCTTGATCCAAAGACACTTCCACTTCTCCCTGAAATTTAATTACTCTGAGTGTTGCCTCAAGGCATCTGGCGGCCACGTGGCTCACCACCACTCAAAACTTTGAAATGAAATTACACCCCTTAAATCCACCCCCAAATGACTCATCCATTCGCCCCGAAATACGAGAAAGAAAAAAAAAAGCATAAATAAAACAACAACAGGGAAAAAACAACGAGGAATACCTGCAGTGCCATTTCACACCCCCATTACAACTACCAAGGGGATGAAAAAATTGTCATCCCCTCGCCCTTCACCCGAGTGCGTTGCAATTCGCTTAACCGTAAAAGATCCACGCACAGAATCCGTCAAAAGCGCCGAAAGTGGAGTAAAAAAGAGGGGGTATGGGGTGGCAAAAAAAAGAGGGATGAAAAAATCATCCCCCGTCTGCGAAAAAAAAAGGGGAATCACCGTGGGGCTCTCGGTAATTCCTCCACGCTTTAAGGAGACTCGAGACATTTCCAGGACATACATTCCCTCATCGACGTGTGAGGAAGTGGAAGGGGTGGAAGGGATGGAAGGGGTGGAAGGGGTGGAAGGGATGGAAAGGATGGAGAGGGTGAGAGTTACCCCTCGACTTTTTCCCCCTTTTTTTGCCTTTCTCTCTCTCTTTAGTGCTGAGTTGTCGGGAAATCTCGTGTCTCCAACATTTTTCTGTCTTTCTCAGTCGGGGGATGAGGGAGGGAGGATTCAACCCCTAGGGCGATGCACACCCTATCGAGAGACGGCGTGGAGCCTATGGGCTCTCATACAGGATTACTTCTAGCCAGTTTTATTTTACTCAGTGATAGACATTCCTCTCTTGGACGTTCACATTTATGCCCAAAGGAGAAAAACTCGGGGAACTGTCCCTTCAGTAGCAAGACCATCACGGGGGGATGACTCTAGACTCTGGAGTCACCTAGACCGGAAAATACGGCGGATGTTTATCCAGTCACTCATGCATTCCATTTTCTTTTTTGCTTCCTAGTGCAGGTGAACGCTGAATTATTTTATTCGATAAATTGATAAATAAATTTTTGAAAATTCGGGAAATAAGAAATTGTCCGGGATTATTACACGGAGAGAAATATTTAGTAAAAATTACGGAAACATTTCACTTACCGATTACGGAATTGATTCGAAAAATTTAAGTGAGGGTATCGTTATTTTTCACTGATAATTAAAAAAAAAAATTACGTGACAGTTTCGTAAAATTTCCGTGTAGGGGGTGGGAAGGTGCCCCGATAATCATTCTCGTTATCAAGAGTTACGATACCTCGCGGGGGTGAAATATTAGGGGATGAAATATCGGGATAAAAGGGGTGTACATTATATATTTTTTTTTCGTGGCGTACCTCTCGCATTTCCCTCAAATGAACATTAATCAGGATGGATGGCCGCACCCTTTCTAAAATTCTTGACACCATTATAACCCGAAATCACCCTCCATGACAGACTAATTTACGTACACCTCTTTTCCCTCATGTGTCAAAAAGCTTTATTCTCACGAGTAGACGGGACGTACCTTAATTCGTGGAAAAAAGCTAACACATGGAGAAGAAGAGAGAAAAAATCGTGGGAATTAGACTGATGGTACTGATAAAGTCAACTGCACGAGACGATGAAGTTTCCAAAAGTTCAGTTCAATTATATCAATTATAAATTACAATTTCTCCTTAATTGCCTCACCATAATGTGTGTCATTAAGTATTTTATTTCGCCCCATCTGCCTTTTCTGAAACGGTTCATTGATCGTCTGGTCAATTATTACACATCCATTAATATCCGGATATAATACCTATAATTACATAATGGCCCGGGCTGGTATGACCGAGTCTGACAATCTGTATCGAATAAAAAATATATTTGCACTCTAAAATAAACCGGAGAATTAAAATAAAATGGATTTAATCGATTCGTCTTATCGCGTCTTATCAGGGCTATCACCCTTTACATTTTTTCGTGATTTTTTATTTAAATGAATAATTATTCACTTGGGGAAATGGAATAATTATTGAGTCATTCGACCATTTTGATTTGATTTGATAAAATCTGGTCATTATGAAATTGTTTCAATGTTAAATGACGAAGGATTTCGTTCTGCATTGTGAATAACTAAATGTAACATCTATTAAGTCAAAATTCGTGTACACATGCGATGAATAATGATAACGAACAAAAGGGAGACTTGGTGGTTTATACCAGAAGTCTCCATGCCCCGAATTTCCATAGATATTATGCATTGTGCGAGCCATTTGAACTCGTTTGGGTCTTCTGGTCCTATTATTCTCGGAGAATAAAGAGACCACGTGGAGAGTACTGACGCATGTTTTACATGAGTGTCTGGCACGTGTGACACATGAGATGATATAAAAAAAAAAAATAACTGCGGATTCAATTTCAAATGGGGAATTAAATGGACAGTTGGGGGATTATTCATTCTGCAATTGCTCATTAGGATTTTTCATGATCGATTTTTATGGGAAATTATCGATTGGTCGAAGCGAATCGAATCGACCTATTCGGTATCCATTCCTGGAAAATCGATATGTCTCGATTAATTAATTTAAAGAATAGATGGGGAAAATCGATTTGAAGAATTGAATATCGAATCGAAAAAATTGATTGATAAAAATCGATTCTTAATCGAAAATCCGAAAATGTTGAAATCGGTGGAAAAATCAAAAGTGTGCAAAAAAAAATTTTGCTATCTCCTCGAGGCCAATAAGAATGGAAAAAATATAAAAATCCCTCATCAAGTTATATTTTCACATTCGAGTGAAA